AAAATCTGATATCTATCATTAGCATGACAATGAAACTATTAGACTGGAAGGGAGATAATGCATGACATCATGAGGTCACATTGATGGTGTAACGTGACTGATGTGGTGGAAAATATCAGCCCAAATGCAAATCAAATCTAGGGATCTTTCAGATCTTTCAGAAATTAAGTTCATTTAGTAATGATAACTACACAAAATTTTGGTTTGGGCTTAGACTACGGTTTCCTTCCTTCTTGATGCAGTCCTTAAAATTATGACTGTCTGAAGAAAAGTTGTCTCTCTTGGTTCCTTCTTTCACTGGAGAACCAGTAATAAATGCACCTGACAAAAAGCGTCTTTACCAGCATGTCCCACTGAGCAGTGACTAACCAGAAATGTCCATGATCAGCCCAAATCTAAACCAAATCCAGCCCAAATAAGATGTTGCTACTATTGCGGTCCATCTTGACTTGGCTCCAAAACAAAACGTAATTTCTGGCCTAAATTAAGTCGGATGTCGAGTATATGACAACAGTCCATCCATACATACATTTTCTGTACAGCGGGAGTTGAACCCTCAATCCTGGAGGTGCGAGAAAAAACATGCTAACCACTATAAAAACTTTTCATCTGGCCAAAATAAACATCTGTAAAAATGTCTTTTTTCACCACCTCTTTTAATTAGCTTTGTGCTCACTGCAGTTTCTCACACCTCTCAAATAAACACGATTTTGCTGCTCTTCATTCTTAAAAGAAGCAAAACATATTTTTCTTGTGACATTTCCATTATCTCATCCATTGAGCTGAAGCTACAAAACATTTGAATAGTTGAACATAAACATAGCCAGGAGCTCATAACACTTATTATGCACTACAAGTTTTTTTTGTTAGCAGTGATTTTCCAGTATCATCATATTGATTCAATTTATGCCAGAAACCTGGTCCCCAAGCTGAAGAGGTACTGAAGAGTTTCCAGTTCCTTTTATGGAACCAAACTATTTATAGAGTTCTAGGCTTTACAAGTTGCTCATAGGTTCATAAAATTGACTTTGTTGTAGAAATTTTCACAATTTAAATGAACAAAAAACAGATCAGTCACATGAGCAAAAGTAAGTACACCCCATACATTCATCACACCTTCAGATCTATAAAATTAGAACAAGGTGTTCAAGATTGGGTGCCATTGATTAGAAATTGCTTAGGGAGTGCAGGTGGAACCTGTCTTATTTATACCCCTCTCATATCTAGTGTCTGGTGTTCCCTTTGTTATTGAGGTGTGTGTTGTCATCATACCAAGATCTAAAGAGTTCTATAAGGCCTTCAGAAAAAAAGGTTGTGGATGCCTATGAGTCTGGCAAGGGATTTAAAAAGATCTCCAAATTATTTAACTGTAAGGAAAATAATCTAAATTGACATAAACAACTGCCAATTTGTCCAGGATTGGCCGTACTGGCATATTTAGCCCAAGAGCAGACCATCTGATGCAAAAAGAAGTCTCCAAGAACCCCAAAATTTCATCACTGGATCTGCTAGTGTCAAAGTGCATGCTTCTACAATGAGAAAGAGATTGCACAAATTTGATCTGCATATGAGGCTTGCCAGGAAAAAGCCTTTGCAAGACTATAGTTTGCCAACGAGCATATAGGCAAGGACTAGGCCTTTAGGAATAATGTGCTCTGGACAGACGAATCAAAGATAGTGTTTTGGCCACAGTAACAGCCGGCATGTTTGGTGCAGACCAAAGTCCAAAGCTTTTCAGGAGAAGCACCTCATACCAACTGTGAAGCACGGTGGTGGAAATGTTATGGATTGGGGTTGCTTCGCTTTTGACCTGTCTTAATGTTTTTCCATAATTAAAAAAAGGTCATCTAGTTAAAACTGGCATATCAAACATGGGTATATTACACAAATGCACAAAATACCAGAACTTTTGTCACTAGAAAACTGGTACTTAAAAACAGTTAGCAACAGAAGCTAATTTTTCCATGGGGCCGGCTTAAGGCACTGACACAAAATAACTTCTTGTTCTTTTGGCTGCTCCCGTTAGGGGTCACCCCAGAGGATCGTTGGTCTGCATATTTGATTTGGCACAGCCCGGCCTGACGCAACCCTCCAATTTTAGCCGGGCTTGGAACCGGTACTGAACCCCCAGTGAGAGATTTGATATTTTTTGTTTAGTAGATTTAAATTTAATCAAAATGATAAATTAGTCATTTTTACTGTTCAATTCATTGGTACCAACAAGTATTCCAGGTTCCTGTTCTTTAACAAGAAATGAAAGATCCGCAGATGAGGTTCTCAAAAGGCTGACAGCAATGGCTTGTGTCTAGCAGAATGCTGAGACTCACCACGCTGGGCATCATTCAGGCAGTACTTCAGTGAGCCACATTCCCAAATCCCCGTGTTTTCATTAAACAGCATGTTGAAACGCATTTGGACGATCTCAAACGCAGAACCTTTCAGCAATGAGATCTGATCCTCTATTGTTAGATCTCTGCAAACAAAACACACAAACACATTTCCTTTTATAGAAGGACAATACATCTTAAGTTGGAAGTTGGTTCATTGGATAGAAAACAAAGCATTCATACAGATACCATATAAAGAATACAAAACACACATCATAAAATAAAAGTGGCGGTCATCGAGATCCAAGCACCATAGCATTTGTGAAATAATACAGATACAATATAATCACTGACCAATATTTTAAATGTCTAATTCAGAAACATAAACTTGCAAAGTTATACAAACCAACTGGTGTTTTTGGGCAGTGAATATGCCCCATGAAGAATAGATTGGACTGTGGCAGCCATTTTGTTTACAAATGTTAACATATTTTGGATAATTATTGATTCACATTCTTGTCAATATATCTAAAACCTATGACTAATTAATGTGTCGTTAATGAATGATTTGTTCATTTTTAACAAATTTTTAATATGACTCAACGAGTTGTCTCAGAGTGATTCGTTCATTTTTGATCACGCATGCACTGCAACATCCCCATAGGTTCTGTAGAAATGATTAGTTCACGTCTCAAGTCTTCAGGTTCGGGAACTAACGACTCCAACCCGAAGACTCGAGATGTGAACTAATCATTTCTGTTTCCGGGGAACAGATGTGACAAATGTGACGTGACAAAAGGAAGAAGGACTCGGATTGGGAGGTGAGGTGAACTACCGTAATTTTCGGACTATTGAGCGCACCTGAATGTAAGCCGCACCCACTAATTTTAAAAAGATTTTTTAAACTTTTAATTAAATACGTACCATAAATGCTTTTTTCCAAACAGTTCCTGTAACACGGCTGGTTAAAAAAATACAGTTGCCTACCAGGAAAACTCATTGATCGTTATCTTCATCTTCCTCCTGCACACTAAAACCACTAAAGTCGTCTTCTTCAGTGTCGGAATTGAACAGCCTCAGAATTACCGGTACTTTGTCACACTCCACCTCTGAAAGCTTCGGTTTCAGAGTCAGTTCTTCACGCTGCCGTCTCCAACATCTCACCATTGATTCATTGATGCCAAGCTTACGTGCAGCAGCTCTATTTCCTTATTCGACAGCCAGATCGATCGCCTTTAACTTGAAAGCGCCATCATATTCTTTTCTTTGTGTGTTTTCCCTGATGAGGGGGTGTGCATGAAGCGCACAACGACTGATCTGAATAATTTAGTGTGAGTGCATTTGATTTAATTCGAACAGTTTCATTGGTCCACTGTGACCTGTTCGGTAATTTCATTGGTGCGATGTGACGAGGCTAAATGTTTTGGCGGTGCTACAAAACGAGACTGGAGGCGGATGCAGGTGCAGATCGAAGTCTTTATTAAACACGTAACTCAAAACCAAAGAAAACTCGGTCTTCACCGGAAAACGAGAAACTGGAATCGTGGCATAAAATGAGATCAAGAATAAAGGCATGGAAACAAACGGTATAAACGACATCACCTATCTAACCTTTACAAACCATAATACTGAGCAAAGTGCTCAGTAACCGAGGGCTTTAAATAGTAAACATAATCAAACCAAACCATGGACACCTGGGGCACATTAAAGTCACTTAACGAAACTAAATGCTCAAGCAGGAAGCGAGCGAATCAAAACAAAGTCACGTGACGAGTCAGGAGCTGTGCCACAGTGCCCTCTGCTGGCCGTGGTGTAACAGGCAGCATGAAGCTCGTTAGCCTATAAAAATCCATAAATTAGCCGCATGATTGTTTAAGCTGCAGTGTTCAAAGCATGTGAAAAAAAGAAAGAAAGCGGCTTATAGCGGCTTATAGTCCGGAAATTATGGTAACAGACTGCATTGCCTGAAGACCAGCTAAGCAATTAATGAATCACATCTGTTTCTCATAATTCAGCCTTGGCTGCATTAGCCTATAGTTTATTTTATAGTTTATTAAGTACTAGGTGTGTTAGAGAATTTAACATGTAACATTTTAATTATATTCTGCTGAAATGAATGAAATTACTCAAAAAAAAGATTCGTTCATTTTGCTGAATGAGATTTAAAGATCCGAGTCAGAAAAACTATCGGAACTTCCAATCACTAATTCACAAAAGTAGATTTAGCAAATTATGTAAATTAGAACAAATTCAAAGGGGTGGAGCTAAATATTCTTTTCTGGTATGAGCCATAGAATCAGACATAAAAATAATATTGACAACATGTGTCATGGTTTAGGCGCTAATGAACCAAAGGTAAAATGTTGCTCTAATGCAAAGCACTAGGCCAATGCTGGTCCCCTACCTGCTTAGACCCCTAAGAATAACATTTTACACCTTACAGGAGCAGACTGTAATTTTTTACACCTCCGCAGCTGTTCCAGCTGGAGGGTGAAGCTAATTTTCCAGCCAGAAAAATAGAATGAAAAGTCTGAAATATAGAAACTAGTGAGATCTAGCCCAGCTAGGTAATTTGGTAGAGCATCGGATGCTTAATCTCAGGGTCATGGGTTCAAGCCCCACGTTTGAAGAGACTCAGAAGGCAAAAAAGTGTTTGTATTACTCTACTGTAAGGCAGTGGTGGCTCAGTGGTTAAAGGCTCTGGGTTACCGCTCAGAAGGTCAGGAGTTCAAGTCAAGCTACCACTGTAGGGCCCTTGGGCAAGGTCCTTAACCCTCAATTACTCAGTTGTATAACTGAGATGAATGTAAGTCGCTCTGGATAAGGGTGTCTGCCAAAATGCCGTAAAAAATAAAAAATAAAAATAAAAATCTATTTCAGGATAATATTTTTGATTAAGTTTTTTCTATGGGATTGTTGAAATTATGTGATTGTTACAGGTTGTCAAAACACTTATAAATTACAAACTGTACCATTAAAATACATATTAAAATGATTTACTTGTGTAAAATAACTTAGTATATCTATAAATCATTTAGTAGACAGTCATGTTTGGCAAGCATCAACAGGAATTTATTTTTTCTTCTAAAGAATAAACTGTATAATTAAAGCTCCCTTGTACTCGGTCACAGATTTTTGTGACGTTGCTGGATATCAAAACACCATCAAATATCTCTGATCGGAAGGTGATCGTGTACCTGAAGGTTTGGATGATCTTGGCGAAGCTGATGATGTTCTGGATCATGTAGGTGCTGAGGTCTGTAATGTGAGGGAGGCTGGTGAACTTGATTTTTCCCTCTTCACTGTTGTTTTCTGCGTCCTCAGTTTGGAACACACTGACAAAAGAGGAGTCATGTCTGATGGCTTTCTGTATGGTTTCCTGTAGCGTCTCCTCTCTCTCGGTTTCAGAAGAAATCTGGTGGCTAGCCGAGGCGACCTGGGTGTGCTCAGCGTCACGGTCAAGCGGCTGTGGAGCACACACAGCAACTCAGCACAGGGAAACATAATAATGTGTGTACATTTTCTTGTATATAATATTTTGACAATAGCTATAAATAAAGATCATTTTATATCAAATGAGACGTTCATGAGCTCCAGCTAGAGAAAGGGGTTTTGAATTGTCTTAAAAGTATTACGGCCATTTAAAAAATAACTTCTTTTTTCACATAAAGTCACAGCAATTGAAGTACCTGTATGCAGTCCATGATATATTTTGAAATGGCAGTATTCAGAACACAGCTGCTTTATAAATGTTTAGGAAAATCCTTGAGCCTTTTCAGTGAGTACCTTTCTAACACTCTTTTTTGCTGTAAAAAAAAGTCTATTAGAAAGAATTTTTTAAGGTACTGAGTACTAACAGTTTCATGTATTAAATGTCTCCTTTAAGCTGATTTTGAGAAGCATATTTTCTTTATCTTAATTAAAAGACCTGTACAGCATACTGCCTTTTTTATTCATGGACAATCCGTTTACTTTTAAATATTAGTGACAATCAGACAGAATCAAAGTACATTTATTGTGCGATTTTCAAGCAAAAATCTAAAGAATCTGCATATGCATATAAATCATTTCTGCATGTAAGGGTTGAAGCAGCATTGCAGAATAATGCCTGTACGAATTTGCAAGATTTCCCTTTAATAACGATGGACAGTGATCATTCAAGGATGACAAAAACATGCACAAATGCACAAACATATGAATAAGTTAGTAGCTTTAAAATGTATGAAATGATTTTTTAGAGAACCCTGGAGACATGCTGCACTGTGCGTGAGCTTTATGGAGCGTCGGCTCATTATATGAAAGAATATTTCCTTTGTTTGTATAGAAATGCTGTAGAAATATACTGTAGAAATTGTTTTATTGGAAATATGTTTATATTTTGGAGTTCACTAAGGTAGTGTTGAGGTCAGGCTACTGGAGCATGTTAATGATCTTGGTCTTTGTCTCAGGACCAGACTGGTCAGACATTTTTTTGCACAAGCTCACACTTAGCTAAGTATGTAAGTAAAATGAAGTAAATGTTTTTTCCCCTTTTTTCCCCATATTTTAATTTTAATTTTTTTAAAGAATACTACGCCTGCTGTTCCTGTTTGTAATCATTGTTCAGGACACATCATCTGTTCAATCTGAATAATGTATTGATATTCAGTTACACCCCTAAGGTTAATACATTACTGAATTTAATTAGGAAAGTCTATTCAGTATTCAGACATCAATACTTTTTCCAATATATTCTGGCCAACTGTAAACATGCGTTACAAAGCAAAATGTTCCTAGCACCCCCACCACTTAATGGCTGCAGTTTATTCTGAAGTGATTATTTTCTCTATACCTTAGTATATTTTTTTGTACTAAGGGTCCCTGTAGGGGTTAAAAGTTGCAGCCATTTCCAACCCATGTCATCATCAGTATTCAAAGACCTGGCTGAATCATTCTACATCTTTCAATAAGCACTTTCATTTATTAGCTACAGTTCCATCTTTTCCATCTTGTTTTTCCACCCACCTATTAACTCTTCTTATTCATCTGACTTATTGTGCCATCTTCATTTAAGTTTGCGATATGTTTTCATAGCGCTCATAGCTATAAAAACATACAGTTTTGTTTGAATTCTTTATTGCTCTTGCTTGATTCCTCTGACTTTATATAAACAATCTTATTATTATTGTATGGTTTTATGTTCTATAGTAGAGTGACCTTGGGAACCCTAAAAAGTGCTTATACCTGTAAATAAAATACTACAAAGCAGGCATGATTTGTAAATGTATGTGTGTAAATGTATGTACAGTGCCTTGCGAAAGTATTCGGCCCCCTTGAACTTTTCAACCTTTTGCCACATTTCAGGCTTCAAACATAAAGATATAAAATTAAAATTTTTTGTGAAGAATCACCAACAAGTGGGACACAATTGTGAAGTGGAACGAAATCTATTGGATATTTTAAACTTTTTTAGCAAATAAAAAACTGAAAAGTGGTGCGTGCAAAATTATTCGGCCCCTTTACTTTCAGTGCAGCAAACTCACTCCAGAAGTTCAGCGAGGATCTCTGAATGATCCCATGTTGTCCTAAATGACTGATGGTGATAAATAGAATCCACCTGTGTGTAATCAAGTCTCTGTATAAATGCACCTGCTCTGTGATAGTCTCAGGGTTCTGTTGAAAGCACAGAGAGCATCATGAAGACCAAGGAACACACCAGGCAGATCCGTAATACTGTTGTGGAGAAGTTTAAAGCCGGATTTGGATACAAAAAGATTTCCCAAGCTTTAAACATCCCAAGGAGCACTGTGCAAGCGATCATTTTGAAATGGAAGGAGTATCAGACCACTGCAAATCTACCAAGATTTGGCCGTCCCTCTAAACTTTCAGCTCAGACAAGGAGAAGACTGATCAGAGATGCAGACAAGAGGCCCATGATCACTCTGGATGAACTGCATGTATTACGGACCTGGTGTGTTCCTTGGTCTTCATGATGCTCTCTGCGCTTTCAACAGAACCCTGAGACTATCACAGAGCAAGTACATTTATACAGAGACTTGATTACACACAGGTGGATTCTATTTATCACCATCAGTCATTTAGGACAACATTGGATCATTCAGAGATCCTCGCTGAACTTCTGGAGTGAGTTTGCTACACTGAAAGTAAAGGGGCCGAATAATTTTGCACGCACCACTTTTCAGTTTTTTATTGGCTAAAAAAGTTTAAAATATCCAATAGATTTCGTTCCACTTCACAATTGTGTCCCACTTGTTGGTGATTCTTCACAAAAAATTTTAATTTTATATCTTTATGTTTGAAGCCTGAAATGTGGCAAAAGGTTGAAAAGTTCAAAGGGGCCGAATACTTTCGCAAGGCACTGTATGTGTGTGATCTCCGATCCTTCCGATGTCACTGTCATAAAAACCATCATGAGTCTGTAATGGATTTCCTGACATAGGTTTGGGAATACTTTGGTAAACCTTCGTCATAAACACAGTTCACCGCTGCATCCACAGATGAAAGTTAAGACTTTACTATGCAAAGCAGAAGCCATACATCAACACTGTCCAAAAGCTCCACCCACTTCTCTAGGCTCGGTCTCATCTGAGATGGACAGTAGCACAGTGGACTCATGTTTTGTGTTCCGATGAGTCAACATTTTAAATAGATTTTGGAAAAAACAGCCGTCGTGTTCTCTATCACACTTGACTTATGCTACAGACTACTATCTAATGAATTTTTAGAGCAGTCCTGTAATAGGACCTACAGTCATCCAGCATACTGTACAGTCTAGCTAGCTTGTTTAGAGCGGGTTTGAAACTGTTCTTGTTATGTCCGGTTGTTTGACAGGTTACAACAAAATTTCAATCACACCTACACCTCAATACACAACCACAAAGCACACAAAAGATCTGAAAAGAGCTAAACAATTTGAAAAGGGAGATTAATTTCCTTCTTTTTCTCAGCCTTTACATGGGAAACAAGGTGATGTGGGAATTATCCACTAAATAAACCCCATTTCCATCTTAGAGACATATAAATTGAATAGATTTAATTCTGATTATTTGCTACAAAACAAGAGTATTTTTCTCTGTCAACTAACCCAATTTAGTGTACAAACTTATTGGACTGTTATTAAATGTCTGTTGCTGTCTGTTGCTCCTCCACCACTAAAATATAGAGTGAGCATGGAGCAGTCTGATTCCTGCTCCAGTAAGCCTCCATAAGCATTTGTTGCAGTTCCCATTTTCAACCACTAGGTGCAATAATTCAATTCATATCAATTTTATTGTTATAGCGCTTTTAACAATGGGCATTGTCACAAAGCTTTACAGAAATATATAAATACCAGATATACATTTTAAACTGATAAATGTATCCCTAATAAATGTAGGGACTGCGTGACACCAGATAGTGCAGTTATAAATAATTCCCTTCAATAACTGTGCACTACATGGTCAAATAGTGCAATTGTGTAACTAGGTAATTTGTTCTAGTTTTCACTTGTAGTCTTTTGTTGAAGTTATCAACTGTTTACTGACGTAAAACTGTTCATGGCAATTGCAGTGCTAAATCTATCATACCAAGCCATAATTGTGATACTGATGATAACGTAGCAAAAAAATAAAATAATGCTATGTAGGGTAAATGGGGCAGTGTACAGTAATGTACAGTATAATTGTAGAGATGTACAGTTTACTTTTGCTATAGTATGATGTCTAAGTATGTTTGCAGATCAGTACACAAATGCATTTCTGATATAATACA